GGGTAGGGAGAGAAACAAGGACGGGCCGAGCTGGGGTCGGCGCGCTCGAGTGTCCCGGAGCCTCGAAAACATTCCGTGAAGGTCACGGAGCGGCGTTCATCGGGTCGTGCGCGCCGCCTGACGATCGCCGTCCTTGTGCATAGGCGTGGACATGGGGAGGAGAGGGAGAGCGGTAACAGTCGAGAGAAAAGAAACAAGGCTCGAAGCCTGAGGGCAGCACGCACGAGGTTCCTGGAGCCAAATCTTTCCGATGGACTTCGGAGCGGCATTCATCTGGAACGTGCGTGCCGCCTGGCGCGGGACCGTAGTATACTTTCGCCGCTGGATTGGACAGCGGGAAGAGGTCGACCGCGCCCTTACTGAGCGTACTTGCACGTCTGGTCTCCAAGCCCCAGGTCGCTGCCCAACAGTCGAAGTCAGGTCTCGTTCAAAAGATATGCGAGGCGACTGACTCACAATGTTGGGGGATTACCATTGATGGCATGGCTGCCGTGCGGAAATCAGCGTCGACGTCAGCGGGAGGGAGTAATAGAGAGACGCACAAATCACATTGCGTGTCGCTCGCCTCGCGAGAGCCGTCGGTGACGACCGTGGAGGGAGGGTATGGTTCAGTGCGCCGCGCTTGGGCTCTTGGGGCTTCAACGTGGGTGTAGGTCTCCAACCCCGTGCAGTGCGGCTCGAAGCTGCTGCACGGTGTCTCTCACCTGCCCTTGTGGCGGTGAGGATGGCGAAGCGTGAGCGACGCCAGAGCCTCGGTGCCGGGCGAGGAGAGTGACATGGGAGTCGACCTGCATGTGCCACCGGTCCTAGTCACTGATGGTCAGCATGAGTGGCGGCACGTGTGGTTGAAGAAACAGCTCACATCGTCACCCGGAGACGAGCATGCTGCCGTCGCCGCTGCTGAGGCGGGCGAGGGGTTGGGGAGTGGTGTGCCGCATGGGCGGGAGTGCGCCGCGGGGGGAAAACATCGTCGAGGTGGCGGGGTGGTGCGGGTTCTGAGGGGAGAGAGCGCGGGGGAGGGGGGCTTTTATCCTCGCCTGGCGGACCGTATCGCGCATCCGAGCGGCGACCGCATCGCGCCGAGCCCGCGCAGAGCACAAGGTCGCGCACTCGGCTCGCACATGGCCCCACGATACTGAGGTCCCGAGGATCGCCCTGGCCAATCGCTTCCTGCACTCCTCCGCGCCCAAGCAACACCAGGTGCTTCTCGGGTGGAAAGGTGGTCTCGGATCTCACACCAGTTCCTGAAAATTTGATTTTAATCAACAGAAGTCCTCAGCCGAGTTCCGACAGAAGGGCCCACTCACCGAGCGCGAGAAGAGTCGGAGAAAGATCACGGCGACCAGGGGGTAGGAGGGCACCGCAGGCCGTCGTGTGTTGCGGATCGGTCGCAGAGGCCAAGCGGGGGCCCAGGCATCGCTGAGAACGCACCCCGAATGATTTGGGGTGCTCGAGTCAGGCCCGGGCTGGACGGTGGAGTTGAGAAGGGTGGCCAAACAAGCGTTGTTTGGTGTGGGCGTCGACCTGGTTGAATTTGTGAGCTGATTTGGATCAGGGCGGAACTCGGGACTAGGAAGACTTTGAAGCAGCCAATGCAAGCTTGAAGAGTCCAAAATGACACTGGCCCCTTTGGCTGTATCCAGGAAGGATGCAGACTGGGTTGCAGAGCGAGGTGAAGGAGGACGACGTTGGCAGAGAACAGGGCAAAGCGCCCAGTGCTCAGCTTTCGGCGCTGGAATCTCTCGCGTGCAAGGGTTCGAATCCTCCTCTTGCCACTTTCATGTCTAGGATTTGCGCGCCCTTTTGATCACCTGCTCCTAAAAATCGTCCCGCTGTTTGCGGGGCAGGAATTGGGAGCCGCGCGCCGCCATCATCGGCTCGTACTTCGACCCCGCCGACCTCGATCTGGAACACGCACCGCAGTGCGAACGCCGAGCCCCGACCGCACGAACACTCGTCCGAACTCGGCTGAACGCCATCGCGGCTGGCCGGCGGTTGGACGTCGCCGTCGCGCCTCAGAATACCGAGTTGCTGCGCTGGCACCCTTTGAAGGGGATCTCGCAGCTCTTGCGCAGCTTGACACCAAGTACCGCCAGGGACCATTATCAATGCCGGGCAGTGACTTGATACTCCCCGTGTTTCCCACCACGTACGTATGCTGACCGCCTATCTTTCGTAGCTTCTGCCGTCGGACTTCGCAAACAACTACCGCTCTCAAGCCCTTCGTGGAAAGCACCGTGTAATGCACCGGAACCTCCAGCCTCCACCTTCATGTATGGTGAGATGCACGGTCGGCGCAATGATATCGGCAATGACCATGGCACTGGCCCGCGGGGAGCAAGCTCACTGCTCAGAACACAAGAAGAACTGCGCGCGCAGTGTGCTGCGCCCTGATGGGGGCGCGTTACATACCCCCGGGCCCAGCGACATTTATTAGCAACGCTGCCACCACCAGTGCGTCTTCGCTACTCTCCCCCGTTGCTCATTCTAACTGCATCCCCCTGCACTGCAGATTGGCTCGACCACTGAGATGGGCTACCTAGACCCTCTCGTCTCTGGGTTCACCGCCGCAGGCGTCTTCGCGACTCTCACGCGTGTCGTCTTCGTCGTGCTCCTCGCTTTCTCCGGCTGGCTCAGCTGGCAGCTCTGGAGGTTCTTCCGCCTCAGGCTCTTCAGCAACCTCCTAAAGCTGCCGTCGAAGCCGGGAGCTCACTGGCTCATCGGTAATTTCGAATCGTGGGAGGGTCGCTCGCCGATCCTTGCGATGGAGGAATGGAAGAGAGACTTGGGGACGCATACGATGCTCTGGCGAGACTTGGCTTGCGTACGTCCACCATTCAAATCCGTTCCTTGTGGTAGCGCTTATTTCACTGCGATCTGGCTTGCAGAGTCCCAACATGTGGACGGAAGACGTGCGGGCGATAACCCATGTCCTGACACACTCGGCTGAGTATCAGAAGCCGGAGCTCACCCGCCGCGCGCTCGCGGGATTGCTGGGGAACGGGGTGCTTGTTACCGAAGGTGAAGACGCTGTTGTCGTCGTGTTCCGCCGTCTCCGCGAATTGACGAAGTAGTACGTGTTTCTCAGCCGACCAGCACAGGCAGCAGGTACGCAACTGCTGCATCTTACCGGCATCTACGCTCTCCTCCTGACTTCATCTCCCACAGAGACGGATCATGGTACGCCTCCGTTTCTATCTCCGTTCACAACAGCGCCGCAACGCACCCCTCCGCAGAACCCGGCATTCGGCCCCGCGCAGATCCGCGAGCTCACGATCGTGTTCCTCAACAAGTCGATCGAGCTCCGCGACGCGTGGGATGTCCAGATCCCGGGGGACTCGTCGCTCCGCATCGACGTCCTCAAGTGGCTCAGCCGCGCGACGCTCGACATCATCGGCCTCGCCGGGTTCAACTACGAGTTCAACGCGATCAACCCGCACGGGCCCCCGAACGAGCTCAGCGAGGCGTTCGGCCAGATTTTCGACCCCGCGAACAGGCCGAGCGCGCTCTCCGGGCTGCGCATCATGACGCCCTTCCTGAACGAGCTGCTGGTGAGCGTCGGTCTCCCGCGCAAAGGCTTGCCCCGGTGCTCATGTGGGTGGGGACAGCCCGACGCGGAGTCTCGCCGGCAGGCGAAGGCGCAAAGGGCCATGCGGCGGATCGGGATGCAACTCGTTCAGGAGAAGAAGGCGGCGATCGCTGCGGAGGGGACGATCCAGGATACGAAGCTCGAAGAGTCTGGCAGCGGAATCGACCTCCGCGGGCGCGACCTGCTCACGCTTCTGCTCAAGGCGAACATGGCGACGGACATCCCAGAGAACCAGAGGCTGTCGGATGAAGATGTCTTGGCCCGTGAGTTCGTTTCAGAAGAAAGACGACACGGTGCTGATGCATTCTGATTGCAGAGGTCCCGACGTGAGCGGTATACGTTTTGCTTATCGAGATACATATACTGAGGTTTGTGTGGACTCCAGCTTCCTCGTCGCTGGGCATGAAACTACCAGCACGGCGACTACGTATTGCCTCTGGGCCCTCTCGCAGGATCTTGCCGTCCAGGATAAGCTACGCGAGGAGCTCCTCACTTTCGACACCGACACGCCCACGATGGACGAACTGAGCGCACTTCCATATCTCGACATGGTCCTTCGAGAGACCTTGCGTCTGCACGCGCCTGTACCGCTGACGTTCAGAGTAGCGACGAAGAACGACGTCTTGCCCTTCTCAGAGCCGATCATCGACAAGGATGGGGTCGCCCACGACAGTTTCCAGTGCGTCTTCCTTGAATCCACGCATATCAACATCGATTTGTTCACGTGGCGTGCTTAGAATCACCGAAGGCGACGGGATCATCATCCCAATCCTCGCAATCAACCGCTCGGAGGCGCTCTGGGGACCCGACGCGAAGCAGTTCAAGTGAGTTTGCAATCCTTCTTCCGCGCCGCACCGTTCGTGTGAGCTCACTCTGCCACAGGCCCGAGCGCTGGGAGAAGGTGCCAGAGGCGGTCGCCGCCGTCCCTGGCGTGTGGGCACACCTCATGAGTTTTATCGGGGGCCCGCGCGCGTGCATCGGCTACCGCTTCTCCATCGTCGAGTGCGTTTCTCCCCCTTCCGCCGCCGCCGCAATGTGCGCTAACGCGTATCCTCGCAGGATGAAGGCGCTTCTGTTCGTGCTCCTCCGCGCCTTCGAATTTGAGCTCGCGGTACCGGCTGCGGACGTAGAGAAGCAGTATACGATCGCGGTCGAGCGTCCCGTCGTGGTGAGCGAGAGGGAGAAGGGCGGGCAGATGCCGCTGCTGGTGAAGCGCTACCGTGCGCAGTCACCCTTCTAGATCGAACGCTCAAGAAGGGTTGTCCGTATAAAGTGTAGACATAGTGAATGTAACATCTGATGCCTGAGGCGTTTGCCTCCAAAGTACTTGGTCTTCATGCATGCGCCTTCCCCGCTTTCATTATTCCCGACCCCACTTCCTCCGCACGTCCTGAGACTGGCTAGAGATCGCTCATGACGCGCGGTACCGCTTCACAAGCAGCGGCATCTGCCCGCCCTTCTCCCTCTCGCTCTTCACGACCGGGCGCCCGACCGCGATCGTCCACTCCTTCTCAATGTCCGCGGTGGGGACGGCGAGCTCGAACTCGAACGCGCGGATGAGCACGTACAAAAGCGCTTTCATCCTACGGAACGCCCATCAACTACAGTTCGGAGCCGTGGATGGGGAAACCAAGGAGACACACTCGATGATGGAGAACCGGAACCCGATGCACGCGCGCGCGCCGCCGATGAAGCTCATGAGGTGACCCCAGACTCCCGGCACGGCAGAGACGGCCTCGGGCGGCTCTTCCCACCTCTCGGGTCTGGGCGGGGAGAAGCGTTAGCTCGACCGCCGTGCAGAGACTGCAGGGCAGACAGTCACCTGAACTCCTTCGCGTCCGATCCCCACAACGTCTCCGAGCGGTTAATGATGCTGAGCGGAAGGACGATGCCGTCGCCCTCCGTGATCCTGCAGATCGTCGTGTCCTTCGGCATCACACGCGCGGCGCGGGACGTACTGGAGGCCCTCGTGCACATTGCCGTACTTGTCGACGACGGGCGCAGACAACGGCAGGACGTCGTCCTTGGTTGCGATGCGGATCGACGTGGGCACGGGCGAGTGCACGCGGAGGGACTCGCGGACAACCATGTCCAGGTACGGCGGCGAGTTGAGTTCGTCCATTGTGGGCACGTCGGTGGAGAGGGAGAGCAGCTCATCGCGAAGCTTGTCTTGGACCCGGAGATCCTGGGCGAGGGCCCACAGGCACCACGTCGTCGCGGTGCTCGTCGACTCGTGGCCGGCGACAAGGAAGCTGAAGTTCGGGTCAATACGGTGCTCGAGCCCGAGACGGCATTCTTACGTGGGAACCTCTGCCACGAAAAAACTGTCAGTGTCCACAGATGCGGCGTAACGGACATATACTCACGAGCGAGAACGTCCTCGTCCGAGAGCCGCTGGCTCTCTGGGATGTCAGTCGCCATGTTCGCCTTCAGCAGGAGCGTCAAGATATCGCGTCCGCGGAGGTCCGGGCCATCAAAGCCATCGAGCTTCGCCTCCCCCATCTTGCCCTCCGCCGCGATCGCTTCTTTCTTCTCCTGGATAAGCTGCATCCCGGTCTTACGCATCGAATCTTGAGCCTTGGCCTGTCGCCGCGAATCTGCATCGAGCTAGGATAGCAGCGATGTGAGAACACATACACCTCTCTCAGCTCGAAAAATGCGCGCTGCTGACCATAATATTGCTGAGAATGGGGAAAAGCAAGCGCAAACCCGTCATAACGCTCGGCTTGTTGGCCGGGTTGAAGATCTGGCTGAACGCCTCGCTGAGCTCGTTGGGCCCTCCCTTCGGGTTGATCACGTTGAACTCGTAGTTGAACCCAGCGCGGCCGATGATGTCGAGCGTCGTGCGACTGAGCCACTTGAGGACGTCGATGCGGATCGACGAATCACCGGGGATCTGGGCGTCCAAGACATCGCGAAGTTCGATCGACTTGTCGACAAAAACACCCGTGAGCTCGCCGATTTGCGCGGGACCGAAGGCTGGATTCTAGTGGGAGGGCGATGTGAGAATCAGACAGGATCGCCGTAGTGTAAGCATACTACATACCATAACACGCCTCTGTCGGCAGCACCAAGAGTGAGCATACGCTTCGCAGCTCGGGCTACCGATGACGTACCTGCTGCCTATGTTGCTCAGCTGAACCCATACCAACCAGTCAGGTACAATTCGCAGGCAGCGGTAAGAGGACACGGCTTACCCTCAGTCACGAGCACGCCACTGCCAAGGAGGTTCGTAAGAGCGCGACGTATAAACTCCGGCTTCTGGTAGTCAGTCGAGTGTGTCAAGATATGGTTGATCGCGCGGAGGTCCTCCGTCCACAGACGCGGGAGCTGCATCCGAGACGCGACACGTCAGCGCTCGTCCTCTCGGCTATGACCTTCGCTCGCGCACGCACGTTCAGAAAGTCGCGCGACAGAATGGTGTGCGTCCCGAGCTCCTCCATCCACCTCTCGATTATGAGCGACGGTGAGCCGTCCTTCATCACGCCACTGTGGCCGAGGAGCAAGGTGTTGCCCGGCTTGGCGGGGAGGACGATGAGCTTGCTGACGAAGTTGGGGAGGATGATATTCCACAACTGCCAGCCGAGCCAGCCGGTGAGGGCGAAGAAGATGCCCAAGACGACACGGAAGGTGGTGAGCTCGCCGCTGGCGGCGGCGAGCTGGTGGACGAGAGCGTCGGGATAGGCCATGCTGTCGTTGACCACGAGAGTGAAATCTAAGACACGTGCCGTGGTCAGCATAGCCGCCATGTACGTGGCAGAGAATACGCAAAGGCAGTGAGCACGAACAAAGAGTGGTGGTGAGGCGGCTGAACTTGAGCTGAAAGTCGAAGCTGAAGTTGATGGAAGACCATCAAGGCATATATGTGCCTCTGGGCACCGGGTGCTTTCTGGGTGTTTTGCATACGGACAGCAGTGGATCCCTTATCCGATGCGGCGCTGGTGCCTTGATGGGAGAAATTTATTCAGCGAGTAGACCGATCCATGGGAGCTACCGTTGCATGTCCAAGCATACATCAGCATTGGTTTGCATCGTGGTTCGGCTTGGCCACGGGATGGTCGGGAAATGCTTCACCGTCAGTCCGTTACCGTGACGCTTGTGTTCAAATTCGACATCAGCGCGCCGTGCCGTTGACGCGCCAGCTCGGCTTGCCTTGTGTATGCGGCCTCTCGTCCCCGAGGATGTGTTGAGGATATGTAGCCTAATGGTGAGCCTGATCCCCATGTTGTGCGGCACGCAGGGCATGATGAGCACTGGCCTTTGTATCCATGGAAGTCTACAGAAATACAGCTTCTAGTCCATCCGGAAGCATCCCCGCTCTCGCCACATGACGATTTACTGCTTCTTACCCGTCCTCGCCGTCTCGTAGTTCTGCCGGAACCACTGCACGGTCTCGTCCAACGCTAAAACATGCCCTCATCAGTCCCATCTGTACATCGCACAACACAGAGACAGGCTGCTCACCCTTCTCGAACGGCGTGAACTGGAACCCAGTTCCCTTGAGCAGCCCAAGGAGCTTCTTGTTCGATGCCGGCTTCCGGAACTGGCCGTCCGCCTTGGTCTCGTCGAACCGGTAGTCGCCCTCGAACCCCATCGCGCTCACGAGCGCGTCCGCCGCTTGCTTGATCGACACCTCCTCGTCTTCGCCGACGGACAGAATGAGGGGCTCGACCGATTCGTAGTTCCGGAGCTGCCAGACGAACAGCTTCGCGAGGTCGCGCGAGTAGATGAACTGCCGGAGCGGCTTGCCGGTGCCCCAGACGACGAATGGCGTACCGTTCTCTGCGCGAGTGGACAGACGCGCGGCGAAAGGGGAGGCCGACGTCGAGGGAATCGGAGAAAGGGGAGGGGCGGCGTTATTGAGGACCACAAATGCATGAAAGGCGGGCGAAAGACGTACTTTGGGCGAGGTAGCACCGATGCATCAGCGCGGGGAGCACATGCGCGCTCTCCAGGTCGCTTTACCGCCATCGCGAACCCTTCAGCATGCCACACGAAGCGCGTTAACGGCGCCAGGAACAGAACTCACAAGTTATCGTGCGGCCCGAACACGTTCGTTGGGATCGCGGACGTAAAGTTGTCGCCGTACTGGTCCTTGTATGCGCTGTAACGCCCGCCCGGTCAACTTCGTACAAGCACCACGGGCGCGGGGGGGAGAACCGGGTGGAGGGAATGCGCGGATTCGAAGTCAAGGAGATACGCACTGGTTCTGGACGTCGACGAGTCGCTTCGCGTGTGCGTAGCCGAAGTTGCTTTCGTGCGGAAGGCCCTGGTGGATCTTGGTCTCGTCGAGCGGGTACTCGACCTTGTCCGGGTAGACGCACGTCGACAGGCAGGAGATCACCTTCTTGCACTTGAACTCGTGCGCGGCGTGGAGGACGTTGTCGTTGATGAGGAGGTTGTCGCGCAGGAAGTCAAGCTGCGGTGGCGCGAGAAATGAGACGCGTGGATGGGAGCAGTAGATAAGGACGACGTACTTTCCGGGCCATGTTCGCGAAGAGACCGCCGACTGCGAGTCCAGAGTAAGTACAGATGCGCACGGATGTGGAGGAGGAGCTTACCAAGCGCAGCGAGGTGGATGACATGGGTCGGCTTGTACTTCTCGAACAGCTTCATCGTCTGCTCCTGGCTCCTGCGCACGCAAACACGCGTCGATTAGCAGATGCCGCGCATAAAAGACGATTCTGGACTCACTTGAGGTCCGCCTCCTTCGAGCCGATGAAGAACCACTCCTCGCCACTCTGCTTGCCAAACGTCGAGTTTTCGGGCTCGGTCTCAATCACATACTTGATGCCTTGACCGACGAGGCCAGTGCCGCCAGTGACAAGCACGCGAACAGACATTGCGCGGGTCGTGAGGGTCGTAGGCGTTATCGATGGTGGGGGAGAGAAGAAAGAGACTGAATGCAGAGACGACCGTGGCGGGCATGCATCTACGGGCGCCTACGCATTCCGGGGCCACCGGAAACGCGGGCCGGAGTCACACAGAACATATGCCCGCAGTCTAGCTCCGGGGCCACTGCAGATAATAACTCATGATCGAAGCATTTGACAGACAACGCAGACAGCGCAGCCACACATGGATGCGCATAAAACCCCGTATGTAGAACACGGCCCCGCACTGAACTTCCAGCTCCCAGAATGAGGTACCTTGGAGGTACTACCCTCCCCAAGGGCGTACATGTTCCACCCCGTGAGGGTGGTGACAAAACGAAACAGTCTGTGTACCGATCCCGAATGTCGCAAAGAGGCCTTTGAAGAAGCCCGGGGAATTTTGACTGAAGGTTCACGATTGTCTGAGGTCTCTGCGTAGTGACCGTACGGCTTCAAACCGTTGCTCCAAAGGACGATGTTGGTATGTGAGACGTAATAGAAGAATCACCAGACAACATTCGTTACAGATCGACGGTTGAGGAAATATTATCCGCGGTTGAGACTAGTCTCCCCTAGGCAGCCCTTTTATCAAAGGTTGCGACGCGACGTGCACGGCGTGAGGGGCGTTTCCAATGATAAGGTTTTCGCGCAGGAAGTTGAGTCGTCGTGACGCGACTCGCAGATGGGAGCAATGAGCGAGTAAAATGTACTTTCTGTGTCATGTTTGTGAAGAGTCCGCCCACTGCGAATTGTCCTGGGTTGAGGTACGTACCCGGACGTCTAGTAACTGTCGATGTTGACGGTAACTTCCAAAACGCTTGAGGATCTAGCGGGCAGAGCCGGGTGACATACGCAATTGGTGTCTGATCCCGTACCCAGTACGCGTGATAAGCACGCCGCTCGTATCCGTGAGCTGCGTCGAATTATTACATGTGTCGGGGTTGATCGCAAACAGGAGTCGAGGTTGAAGCACTCGTGCCATTGCCTCTAATGAGGAAACGGGTGATCATATTCCGCCTCATTGCCACTACCGTACAAGATAAAACACGGCAAAAACAAGGGAAGGGCATGTGAACACAAATGGGCACATACTGAGCTCTGTCATCTGGTCCAACCCCATGAGATCCGCCGTTCCATTGCGTGGCGCCATGACTCCGCCTCGTTTTCCAAACCAGGCTGCATTCAACGGGGATCGGAGGGCGTTGCAGCATGCGTCGTGTGGGAGGCGCGAGAGGATTGTGGGCATAGTCTCCCTCCCAGAAAAATTGCGGCGTTCATAGATGTCAGTGCGATATCCACACCGTTAAAAGCGCTCGGTGATACTGCACAGAGAGTTGGCAACGTTGAAGGAAGAGTCATGAGGAAGAGGACGTGACTTGCGTTAAAAAGACCTGACCAGTGAGTCGGTGACCACACCGTCGATTGATCAGAGAAAGCCTAAATGAGTGAGTTTAGGGCAGGTCGTTACGCGTTTGATCTCTGACATCCGGAGCTGAGGCGCCTGTCAGGCCTTGAGCTTCGCCGCGATGTTGTCGAGCGGGAGAGTTTCCCTGCGCATCTTGGTGCGGACGCAGGTTGACGGAGCGCGTCAAGCCGACGACTGTGTCCCTAGATCGGTACTTGCCGTGCGATTATCACAAAACATCTAAGGTAAGACGCACCGAGAATGAAGTTGCACTGCGCGGTCTCGCCGTTCCGAATTTTCTTCGGTTGCGTCCTCTCGCCGTTCGCGCCTCGGATGACGCGCGTGTCGAGCACTTGGGGCGGAAGCACGAGCCGATGGCGGCGCGCAACATCTGGCTCCTTTCGCGCGAACAGCGGGACGTGGAGGGAGGAGCCGGCGATCGAAAGGGTCGGCAAAGATGAGGCACAAGCGTAAGATTTCGCCTTGCTCGTGCGTACCCTTTTCGCTGATATGGCTTTCAGCGGATGCTCAGCCAAATTTCGATGCGTTGTTGGAGCAGATACTGCAGCACTGCGTCCGGACGATCCAGTGACGCGCCGGCCACGCGTCTACGCGCGGGGCGCGTCGGTCCAAGCTGGCACCTACCGGCTGTGCCCCGCTCTCTCCACCCGCACCCACCCACCGACACATCCGCACAACCCCATCGCCGACGTGCATCCACGCAGCACCTCGCTGCCGACGCACCAGCACAATCAAGACTTTCCCCGACATGTGCCCCGACAAGAGTCGCGCGGCAGCATCGCTCGCCCGCGTGTTCGCCGCACAGAGTCAGTACATTCGGCCCCCCTAAATCTACACACACGCCCTCCTCTCCTCCTCGAACATATCGTCCCGCCTTCCTTGTCGCCCCCCTCACTTCGCTCCTGTGTCTCTTTCTGGACATTTCGTCTCCATCTCATCCCCGTCTCCTTCCCCGTCCCTGTCCCCTCCTCCGCAGTACCCAGTCATGCAATCGTGCATATGAGGGATCACAGAACAGGCAGTTATCCGCTCTTTGCCCTCATTCGATGTCCGGGCCCACATAGAAGAGGTGTTACTACGCCCAGAGTCTATCCGGGACCGTCCCCGCCCACCCACGGTGACGCCCATCATCCGCGTGCCGTCCGTCATGCAACCCGCAGCCGGCGATCTGCTCGCGCCCGGTGACCTCGAAGAAGACCAGGAGCCAGGGTTCCTGCTCGTGGGGCAAGGCCGGTCACGGAAAGTCGACGTCCTGCGCCAGGTCAAGCCTGAGGCCGAGCGCAGAAAACACGACGTGCACGCCGAGCGTCGATCCGGTCACCCTCCCCTCTTGCTCCCAGTCGCAGGACCGCTGTTGAGTATCTTCGGCTTCTTGCGCGGCCGCTGCTCG